TATGCAGGTATTCAGCCACTGAGCTATATCTGCAGCCCTTTAAAAAAATGTTTTGAGACAAGGTCTAAGTTCCCCATGTAAGCTCAGGACTTGCCATCTTCCTGCCTCAGTCTCCCAAATAGCTGGGATCACAGGCAGGCCTCACAACACCCAATTTATCCTTATTATTCTCATTTTAGCTGCCTATGTTGTTTCCATGTAGTAGATGTAATAGTATTCTACCAATATTAAATGCAACAAAGAGCACTTATTGGCCATAGCTAATTGTTTGTTTTTGCTATTTACTTGTGCTCCTAAGGTTTGTTTTTATTCTACTTTAAAATTTCATGCAGTGTTGCTCCCAGCCCATCAGTTGGGAACAAATTTGACTCATTTTCCCTTTGATTTCCTCTTTTTTCTTTTTTTTCCCCCTGTACAGGAGATCAAACTTAGGACCTTGAGCCTGTGAGGTAGGTGTGGCGTCACTGAGCTAAATCAAATCCCCAGCTCTAATTTCCTCTTTTATTCAACAGACATTTACAACATGTTTTTTGTATGCCTCGGCTTCCACTAACCACTAGAGCTGCCTTCACAGGCAAATGAGCTGTGGCCTCTGCCCTCATGGAGCTTTCAACCTAGTAATTATTGCCAATAATAATTTTTTAAAATTACACAAATATAAAATTTTAAACTGTGACAATTGAGGACAAATGAACATAGCATTGTAAGAATTTAGGAGAGATTTATGAAGTTCAAATAAATCCTGAGCCAAGTTCAAAATACTTCAAATCTTCCTCATTACAAAGATTAATAATTTGGTTTATCTGACATACTTTAAGAATATCAAGTATACACAGTCATCTAACCATACCATGGAAGAAAAATGGCACAAAGATCCCTTTCACCTATCTAAACCAAGTATACTTTGACTCTTGTTATGTGAGTAATATGTCCTTCCTTGTCTCCCCTCACCATTGGGAATAACAGGCCAGTTTGAAGGGGTGCCTTTGATAGCAGTGTTCTTTCTGTAGGACATGTCTGGTGATTTTCCTCTCTAAAGCCTTGTACCCAGAATGAATTCCAAGTTTGGAGTTTTGGTGGTAGTAATGGTGGTTGGTTACATTTTTAAAAGCTTTTGGAATTGTTACACCATCTGATTTATAACATAACAGCTATTTTTAAAAATTGAGCCATAAGTGTTCATAAATAAGATAAAGTAAAACTTGTCTTCATTTAAATAATGTCCTGGTTTTAGCCGATATCAGAAATCTTAAAATCTGCTTTTCATTTTTATAAACAAAGCCAATTATAGTACCTAAATGAATTATTTATGTTCTGCCCTTTGAAGACTTTTCAAATATTTCATGAGTATGGTCAGGAGGAATGTATACTCTTGTGTTAGTGGATTTTGTAAAGATATTTATGACTACTTTTATATGTATGCAAACCACCAAAATAACTCAATGGATTATGCTGAAATTATTGTCATAATCGAGTCACTTTTGTTCGCAGTTGGTTTTATCCTTTATTTGTAGGGTTATCGATGTTCTTAATAATTTAGCAGTCCTTGGATATACACTTAAGAAAATTTAGGACAAAATTGTGCAGAGCTAATAACAGTTATAATAAGTTGTTTTTTGATCACATAGTGGCTTCTCTTGAAGTTAAAACTGTCTCTGAAGAATGTTCTTGTGCATTTGCCAAGAGGCTTCGGGATGGGCATATTTTTAAGAACTTACAACATAAACAACTGTGATCTGTGGCAAGAAATTTAAATTACCTCATGATGACAATGAGAACAAAGCATTTTTAAGTTATCATGGTGGTGTGGTAATTCATTGCAGTGTGTTTGTCATTCTCCTATTGTGGTGTATTCAGTGAGAGCCAGGCAAAAAAAAAACTAGTGTGTATTAAACTTAAGATAGTTTCTTTATTGTTATAAACAAACTAAATACCCCCAAAAATTATTTTTTAAGAATATTTCATGAATTATTCTAGAACTGTAGCTCTTTTTTTTTTTTTTATAAACTAGATGAGCCTCTCGGGATAAAGACCCTAAAGTTTTGATTCATCTTCTGTTGGAGAGAATATGTTCCAAACATGAAAGATCAAACGCTTGACTTGAAATAGGCATCCTTCCTTCAAGACAGATGAATTAAGTGTTTATTAAGTACTTACTATGTGTCTAGTACTATGCTATATATAGAATACAAAAGAAGGTGGCTGTAAGTTGCTTTTGGTCTAGTTAGAAGAAAAGGCATATTCAGATGAAACTTACAAAGTAGAAGGATATTATGTAATCAATCACCAAATAAAATAAAGCATCGCTTATGTAGTACAAATAATTACATAGCCCCTCTTTTCAAAAATGACATCTAATCATTGTCTAGAACAGTGGTTTTCAAGCAGGGGTGATTTTGCTTCCCTAGAGGATGTTGGAGGCTTTTTTTTTTCTTTTTTTTTGTACTGGGGATTGAACTCAGGACCTTGTGCTTGCAAGGCAGGCACGGTTGCCACTAAGCTAAATCCCCAGCCCTGGAGGCATTTTGATTGTCACAACTGAGGCTACTGGTATCACTGAAGATATTAGATCTCTTAAAATTCACACAGTAACTCTTTACATCAAAGAATTATCCATTACAAAGTGACAGCAAAACTAAAATTAACAAACCTTGAATCTATAAATGACAGTGCTGGTAAGTTCTGAAGTTGTACAAGATGTACTGTCATTTTCTTCTAGACTGTTCTGTCACTGTCAGTGTTCTTTGCCTGAGGTCCTGAAATCCTTACATATGATTACTGGGTATCCAAAAACTTTCAGAACATTGCATGGAATTTTTTTCAACACAATGTTCCAGAGTCCGTAGCTTTCGTCAAATTCTCAAGGTATCTATAGCTCCCTAAAAAAGGTTAAGAGACATCAGACCAGTGCTCTACTCGCCTACTGGAGATAACACAGTATACCATAGTGCTGAGCTAGAAGTAGAGTTTTCAGTTTCAAGGATCAAAATTAAACAAACAAAAAAAAATCGAATTTCATATTTTAAGGTAATAAAAGTTTTCTAAATGTATATGGAAATTATAGAATACCATAACGATAATTATTTAAATATCATCTGTGCATTTTAAATTGGAGGTTGTACTATATGCTGATTTAGAGGCATTATATATAAATTATTTTGTTATTTGAAGTCAACTTTTTCTATCAGAATTTGCTGCTTCCTCTGAAATGAGAATCTGAATTTGTATGTACCTACTGAAACATTCAGAGGTTTGCACATGTATTGTACACATTTCTCTTTAAAATTTTAGTAAAGTTAGTATCTTTTTTTTTGTACCGGGGATCAAACTCAGGACCTTGTGCTTGCAAGGCAGGTGGCAGCACCACTGAGCTAAAACCCCAGCCCCAAAAATCTTAGTAAAGTGAATTACATTTTTCTCACAAGAAACATTTTTTAATTGAAACTGGTATTTCTGATTTGGCATCCAATAAATCAAGAGATCCTACCTTGAGTGTATATATAAAGTAATACCTTTTCTAAGTCTTAGAAATGTGGCGATTTAAGTCTTAGTTTAAAAGGCAAGGAAAGGGACCTTAGGGATCATCTATTCCAGATTTTTCAAACTGTTCTTTAGGACTCAATGCCTAAAAGCACTGCTGTTAGCTTTTTACGTATTTGGACTGTCACTAGATATTCTGAGGGGGGAGAAAGGTGCATGTGGATGGAAGGGATTGTGTACTTCCCATCCATACCAGCCTCATTTTTCATTAAGGAACGTGAGGCCCAAAGTAGAATGGGGCAAGACAGTATGAAAAAATCCCCAAGGCTGACCAATTCTTGTAGACCCTTAATCTAAGGTAAAGGAAGTGTAACCACTTTGCTGTCCCCTTGGACAGTGAAGGTGTATGTTTGTTCAGTGTTTCAGAGAACATGGTTGGGCACAGATGGGGTAGGACTTCAAATATTTAAATAACAATCTATTTTTAAAGAATAATAAATGGAATGATTTGAAATGGTATTTTTAAGAGAGACTTGGTTAATCCAGGTCATTTTCCCACATAACATTCTAAATGCTGTGAAATTAAAAACAATCTTAAAGATACTGTAATTCTGGTTTTTTGATGCAAAGTAAGCAGACACTGAGAACATTGAATAACTTGCCTAAGAACACACCACTAGGAAGCTACGTAGCTGAAATTTGAACTCCTGTTTATCTTCTATACAATTATCAGGTACAGTAAGTCTCCAGCTTACGAACATTCAAGTTGCAGACTTTCACAGGTATACTGTATAAGATTCATTTTGTCAGATTATGAATGAATTTGACTTATGAACATTCTCCCGAAACAGAACTCGTTCATAAATCGGGGACTTACTGTACATCGACAATCCTCATTTGACCTGTAGAGTGAAGAAATGTACAATATACCTGAAAACATTATTATAGGAGCAAGATCTTTATAGATGAAATATAAGGACAAATAACAGCACTAAAACGTACAAAGTAGAATGTGAAGTTTGTGGTCCTTTTTGATCCTAACCATATGGTCTCGCAGAATGCTTGAGGACAGATTGTGAGAATTCTTTCCACCTGGGGTGTTTCAATTAATTTTTGTTAATCCCTGAAGTTGCCAGGTAACACAGGCTTTCTTTTCAGTGACAGAAACAAGTGGAGGTAATTTTATTAAATTAATTAGAAGTCGTATCCTGAGATTTACTCACTCCAGAATGTTTCTTAGAGGCTCAAAACAAGAGAAGTGATGTTTGAATCTAGAGGATTTTCTTTCATGCCTTAACCATGTATCAAGGTGTGTGTGTGTTTCTTGATTTAATGTTTGTTACTTAAAAAATAGCTTTTATAAATGTTGATTCCCTGTAATCGTGGTGTATACAAATGTTCAGTATTGAATATTATCTTGTTATTGTATTAAACATGCATAAATTACATTTGTTTTGTTTTTGTAAACTTATAAGTGATTAAAGATAAAACACTTCAGACTAATCTTCTTTTTTCCCTAGGCCTTAAAGAAAGTGCAGAAGAGATGGTAAAAAACAAATTGGAAGGAAAAGATAAACTGACCCCTTGGGAACAATTTTTAGAGAAGAAAAAAGAGAAAAAAAGACTAAAAAAGAAACAGAAGGTATCACTGATAATTTTGAAATGTATTGAGTGCCATCTGTTTATCAAAAAGTACCATGTGCTTACCATCCATTATCTCAGAATGTAACCACTCACTGGATTAGGCCTTTTTATTAGTTCAATTTTAAGAAATGAGAGGCAAGAATATAGCAGGTTATTTTCTGGAAGGCCACATAGTGGTGTGCAATTCTGCTAAGATCCTAGACCCTCTTCAGCTGCTATCCTCTAATAGTTTACGTTGACATGCTACCTGAATATTACATATTGGTTAGTCAGTACATCTTGATGTAAAGCAATACAATTCCATTCCATGTATTTGAAGAGGAGAGGTGCCTACAGACTTTTTTACTTAAGGATATATGTGTTTGGAAGTTTTTAACATTGTGAATTTATGATATACAATTCTGTTTCTTAGCCTGCATTTTTCACCTTTCAGTGTTACATGGCTCTTTCAGTTATGTTACTATCATTAAATCCATTCATCAGAAATACTTTTTCTGTGTTAACATGGTATCTGTGGTAAGTATGATTTACTGCCATTGTTCAAGGGATAATATATTTTCCAGTTTGAATCCTTAGTAATAGCAGAGATCACTTAGATTTTTGCCACTAAAAACATCGTATTGGTCACTCACGTTCATTATTCTAGCAGTAGTGTCGTTGCTTTACAGTGTTATCACTTATAATCACAAATGATACAACTTAGAATTTGTGTGGTTAGTTCTTATCCAATTCTGTTTATAGTTGTAGAAAATTAAATGATTTTCCAGCTTGCTGATGGGTAACCTGAGACCAGAATCCACGATCTTTCAGGAGGCCAAAATGGCCATCTGGGTTAAGGGGGTAAACCCCTCACTTTCAGTCCCTTGTTCTTACTACTGTTCTGTATTGTTTTTTCTCTCTACACTGTATGTGTGTTGGTACAGGTGTGATTTATAGTGCTATAAAAGTAAAGGGCCACAAGTTTTTTGGGGGATTCTGGGGGTTTTTTTCTTATACTAGTATTTATTGGGGCTTGTGATGGACATAGAGCTGAGCATTGAACCCAGGGCCTCCTGAAGACTAAGCATGCCCACAGTCTACTACAGAGGCACTGAGCTGCACTATACTCCAACTCCTATGGTAACTGTTTATTAGAGGGAAAGAGACAGGAAAATTAACAAAGGGAAAAGGCAGGCAGGGGAAGGTTCACAGGAAGCCAGGCACGAGCTTCCAAGAGTTCTTTTTTGTGATGAGACAGTCAGTTCTGAATTTACCAAACAGCTTGTTGATCAAGCTTGTTTGCTTATTTTCTGATCCACTTCTGTATAGCTGTGTGACTGTGGGCAAGTCATTTCTGCCAGTCCCAGTTTTCCCCTCTGTGAAATGGTAAGTCATAATTATTACTGGGCATGGTCCTTTGAAAGGATGTTTTCTAAGGCAATCCATGTCAGCCACTTAACACTGCCTGGCACAGAGTAGAGGATAAGAGAGTAATTATGATCACCATTATCATTTATTAGTGCCAGTAAATATCAGAGTAGAGATCTATGTTCTTTAAAGGAGCTTAAAGCTTAGACAGATAGATAGATAGATAGATAGATAGATAGATAGATAGATAGAGTAAACCAGAGCTAAAGGAGGTACCTTCAATGTGATAGCAGTGTGGCAAGTCCTTGTGCGAAGTCTTCATCTAATGACATCCATTCCTGAAATTGTGACACCCTTGACCCGTCTTCTCCCGTCAGTGACTTTTATGACTCACCTCAAAATGCTTTCAAAGTGTCTGCATTCCAGGAAATGGATTTTCTGTGAAGTCAGTAGAAGCTCCATTCCACAGAGGAGCTTTTCTGTTTTTTGGTTTTTTTAATGAATCTCTGGGTTTTTGTTGGTGGTGGGTGCTAGAGAATTGGGGATGGGTTCTATGTAAAAGCCCAGGAAAATTGCCACACTCCAGATCTTAAATAAATCCAGTGAAAGCATGCTTTAGGACAGCTCTTCCCTGGGCCTTGTCACAAGCAGAACCCAGTGATCAGTGGCTACTTTGATTTAGTCACTGTCAAAAGTTGTGAGATTCCACAACTGTTGCATAAAAAGGATGACAAAATTAGCAGCTCCACACAACACACATTTTTTATCACACAGATTTTGTGCATCTTGAGTCCTGTACAGATTATAAGTCCTCTGCTCTTCTGGGGCTGTAATGTTGGTGTCTGAGAGACCATAGCCACATGAGGGGACAGATCTGGTCTCAAGTTCACTTGGTTGTTGGCAGTTTCAGTTCCACACGGGCTGAAGAGCTGAGGAACAGACACCCTGGGTGCTGTATAGAGTTCTTCCCAGTTATTAGGAAGCACTAATGTCTAGAGATGTACAAATATCTTTCTAAAGAGAGCAAAATCGGTCCTGAGAGGGAAAATTCATTATCTAATGGCATAGATTTCTTTGCCTGCACTAGCTATTTTTGTCTGAATTCTTGCTAGTGATTTCTTTTTTTTTTATTAATTATATTGGTACATTTAAGGAATACAATATAATGACGTTCATCATTAGAAATTTGCACCTTTACATAATCCATCTTGGTTCTTATTTTTTCCCCATTCCCCTGCCCTCCCTTCAACCCCCTCCACCCCTCCCTATCTACAAAGACTTTGTTTCCATTTTTTCTTTTTCTCATATTAATTCCAATCCCTTCTTTCTTTTCCCCTACCCCTCCCATTTCCCCTTCCCCTTTGCCCCTTTTCTTCCTATTTCACATTATTTATTATACCTTTTAGTCCTTATTTACACTTTCAATTTCTCACACTAGAGAAACTATTCGGTATTTATATATGTGTGTCCTATTTATTTCACTTAAGAGTATCTCCTCAATGTGCATCCATTTAACTATAAATGTCTCTAGTTTCTTATTCTTTATGGCTGAGTAGTACTCCATTTTATTTTAAAAAACCCACATTTTCTTTATCTAGTCTCCAGTTAATGGGCAATTGGGTTGTTTCCAAGTTTTAGCTATCACAAATTGTGCTGCTATGAACATGGGTGCACATATATCGCTGTGGTATGATTCTTTTAATTCTTTGGAGAAGATACCCAGCAGGGAAATAGCTGGGTCAAATAGACCCAATCCAAAAATGGGCATCTAAAATGAACAAACATTTCTCAGACAAAGAAGTAGAAATAGCAAATAAGCATATGAAAAGATGTTCAACATCACTGGCCATTCAAGAGATGCAGATGAAAACAACACTGAGATTCCATCTCACCCCAGAAAAAATGGCTGCCATCATGAAATCAACCAGTAACAAATGCTGGTGGGGCTGTGGGGAAAGAGGAACCTTACTCCACTGCTGGTGGGAGTGTAGACTAGTGCAACCACTGTGGAAATCAGTATGGAGATACCTCAAAGTGCTAGAGATTTCTTGATGGACCATGAATGTGGAAGCAGGTTTTGATCTAGAATTATGGTTACCACCAGTAGTTTGATGGTATTTTAGACCTTCCTTGCAGGCTGGGTTGTCTGGTTGCTTGCTTCTGCCAAGGTCTCTGAAGGTTGCTGGGTTGATCACGCCTCCAGTGTCTGGTGAGTTCTCTCAGGGTTTGGTAGAGTCCTCCTGGCTTGGTTTGCCAGATACTACAGTTGAGTGGGCCAGACATAGTCCAGGCACTTGCATACACCAAGTAAAGAATTGCCAAGTGTACACTTCGGAGTATGTAGTAAGTAGCTGCATGTATTGAAGATCACGTGATGGTTAGCAAAAACAGGGAGAAGGGCAAAGGGAAGAAGAGGGTGAAGGAAAAAGGACTCGAGAGCAAAAGGAGAAATGGACTCAAGTGCAAAGAGAAAAAAGGCAAGGGCCACAAAGTTGAATGCTGCTTTGGAGTAATTCTTGTACTTTTATTGTGATCACTATTTATGGAAATGGGTAGTAAAATGAAAACATAAAACCCCTGCCCCCATTGACAGTTCCTGGGTAGTAAAATGAAAAAATAGAGTAAAGCCCCTGACCCCATTGAAGTTCCTGGAATTTCCTTTAAAACTGAGTAGTCGTGCTCACTTTGGCAGCACACATACTAAAACTGAGTAGTCATGGAGCTAAAGATGTAACTTAATGGTAAAGTGCTCTTGCCTAGCATGCAGGAGTCCCTGGGTTCCATCTGTACCCTTAAAAAAATAGGCAGTAAATCTTGAATGGAATAACTCCACAGGTGATTAAGCTGTCAGTTTATAGGATGATTTTCGAACTGGTTCCTTATAGGGTTAATAAAGTAGTCACTCAGACTTTTAGCAGCTATTGTTTGATTTCATGTGGTAAGAGCTTTGAGCTTATCATGTATTTTTACATTTTCTCTTCTTTGTGCTGTAAATCTAGACTCCTTTTATTAACAACATTCAAAATAGATTTCTTGAGTATTCAGTGTGTTCTAGACTCAGTCCTCTATACTAGATTTAAGAACTACAACAGATCCAGCTCCACAATTCTCTCTATATAGAAGAGTTCAAGAATCTTCTTCAAGTAAAAAATATTTCTGCCCCCTTTGCCTCAGTGGCATCAGTTTCAATATTGAGAAATTATTACTGAAGGTATAAATAGAATACATATTTACATATATGTCATGGTATTTAGTATTTTGATCTACTTACACAGTTTAGATATATATAATACTTCAGTGAGTGAATAAATATGTAGATATATGGATTCTGTAATCTTCAGTAAAAACATCTTTCTACTAATAGATCAGTGGAAAAAAATTCTTAGAAGTACTTCTCCTTAAAGGGATATTAATGTCAAAATGAATATTCTTTAGGACCTAGTAGATCTTGCTACATACAGGATGGTTTTTAGCAATAATACATTCTAAACACTTTTATTAAAATGATTTAGAGGTGTTTTAGATTTCTGGAGTTAACCTCAGTCTGGTTAGTGTGATCTTAGTTCAGATATGTACTGTTTATTTTGTAGTCTTGATTTCCTAATTTATACTAATGTAGCAGTTGGTTCAAATTTAATTAAGTAAAATTTAGTAAAAATTAAGTTTTAGTAAAGTAAATTTTAGTAAAAATTAAGTTAAAATAAGATTTACTTAAAAATAAATCAGTTAATAGGGTAGATTATGTATGAAGCAAGATAATTGTTGATAATGAGTGTTGAGAACAGTTTGTTACACTGCTTATTACTTTTGTGTATGTTTTAAATTCCATCCTAGAAATTATTTTCTTCAGTTAACCAGCAAATAAGTGGGTTTAAATAATCATTTAAGAGATAACCTACAGTATACAACTTTAAGCTGTTGAGAGTCATTGCCATTTCTCAATTTTATCAGAAATCAGGCCACATCTCTGGATTAATTACCCATCTAAAAGTATTCTCTTTTGAATGTCTGTATCCCTTTTTGTATTCTAACACTGTCTTATCTTGAATTACTATTACCTATGCACTTATGTGTCTCATTTCCTTTAATAGACTGTAAAGTTTTTGAGGACAGAAAGCATGTATCTGATAATGTTCATTTCTTCCAAAAAGCACATCGTTTCCTGAATTCATTAAGTATTTTTAATTACCTGTGAAATACACAAAAGGATGTCTTACAAGGTTATTTTATAAAGTCATCCATTTTAAAAAGCTTTTAATTTTAGATTGAACTATATTTTTTTCTATGTATACGTGTCTTATAATTCCTAATGAAACTGTATGTGTTTATATTCAACTTGAAGGCTCTTGCTGAAGAGGCTAGTGAAGATGAACTTCCCCCTGATGTCGATTTCAATGACCCATACTTTGCTGAAGAAGTTAAAAAAATAGGTAAGCCAGCCTGTGTTTGTAGTTTTCAGTTGGAATCTGAGGAAATGGGTGATATGGGTGGAAACTATATAATCACTCTTTAAAAATCACTAGAGTTTGGATAACTGCCCAGGGGAGTGCTACCATTGATCATATTGGGAAGATTCAACACGCCCCCTGTAAATTCAAGGAATGATTTCATTATAGTTAACAGTTTAATGCAGATTATTTTCTGGGAATAACCTTTATAGCTAGTCAGATGGATTCTATAAAAAGATGAGGGTAAATAGAGGAATAGTTATTTCTTGTATGCTTTTGCTACTTTCTGTTATTGGTCTCTAGATCTCTGCAAAGGCTATGATGAAGTAAAACTATGAAATAAATTTGTGTTGATATGTGTAATTTTTAAAATTTACATAAGGAATTGTATAATACAGTAAGTCCCCACCTTGTGGATGAGTTCTATTCCAAGAGAACATTCCTAAATTGAATTCATTTATAAGTCCAACACAGTGAGTCTTACATACTGATTTGTTCACATCTATGAATGTTCGAAGCAAGGTCCATTTGTATCTGTGAAAGTTCACAACTCAAATGTTTGTTAAGCCAGGGACTTACTGTAGTTTTTTCTGCTCAAAAATACAAGTTTTTTCTGCTGAAAGATAGAATATCTACGTGGTGTGATAACAAATATTGTGATTTTTTTTTCCCCTATCTGTGCAATAAAAGATATATCTTCATTAATCCCCCTCACTTTGAACACACTTACACCATTGTTCTTGCAACTTTCTGAAGCAGCTCTGGAAGTCCTCCTCCATGATTGTCTAGTTATACTATTGTGGCTGCCTTGATGTTCTGAATCAATTCAAAACCTTTACCTTTCATAGTCATTTTGACTTTGGGAAAGGGTCAGAAGTCACACATTGCCAGATCCACCAAATAAGATGGATAAGGACACTATTGTAAACGTTTTTGAGCCAACCCAAGGTGTTAAGGCACAAAAAGATACAAAAAAAGACTTTCAGAACCGCTTCAGAGAGTGGCAAGAAAGATGGAATAAGTGTGTTCAAAGAAAGGGGGATTAATGGCAATTTGTCTTTTACTGTGATAAGATTTTTAATTTAAATACTCATTGTATTTTTTTAAATCACGCTATATTTCATTTTAGCCCTTTTGCATTTATCCTACTAAATTATATCTAAAAGCGAGCTTTTCTCTTATTCCTCTTTTTCTTTGTATCCCTCATCTGTCTGGCATCTCATTTCCTGTATCTGGGGAACCTTGTTTCCATTGGATATGCACCACTTATTCCCTCTTGAATGCTTTTATTTTTATCTTTTTGGTTTATGTAAATGTGTTTGGTAAGGGTCGGGTCATACTTGGACAGGTCAGTAGAGACCACTGTTAAGTATTTTCCATTTACTCTCATACATTTTACCTTCCCCTAATCTTTATACCACACACACAAACCCCAAAAGACTTGCTCTTGGAAAAGTTCTAAACTGGCATTGTAAAGAGATGGATTTTATGAAGTTTCCCTGCTTCTTGTTCCTCCTGAGTAGTGGGCCAGAATAGTTCTCAACAGGAAAGTCAAAATTGCTCAAAGTTATTTCCTGGTTGTTACAGACTTTTAGCACTGACATTTTATTTATGAAAAGGAGATCAAGATGAATAAAATCTTATGTAGGATGTGAGATTCTTGAGAATTGGAAAGGGAAATGGAAACTTAGCATATTCTGCTTTTTATCATACCTGCATGATCATTTCTAGATGATGAATATTAGCCTTATCCTTTGGCTAAAACAAAGTTTATAATGGAGAAATGTGAAGCATTATAGTTTCCTTGTTCCCTGTCCAAAGTGCTTCAGTTTGCATGTGAAATCTGGTCGGTATGCAGGATTCAAAGAGTAAGTAAGTTAAATGATTCGAAGATTCAGGCTAGCCAGTTTCTTAGAATCTGCACATTTAAATTTGGTATAAAGCTTTCTCTATAAAGTTAGTATCAAAAGTTCCAAATGAAAAGTCTAGATAAAATTTGCTTGTTTTCAGTATAATTTTGATTTCAGAATGCTTCCTAGGAGTAATTGTTTTTGTCTGAGCTTAAGTTGTTTTGGATGGTGGTTTTAAAGGAAAAATAGAGAGACTTGAGAATCTTTAACATAAACTTTACAAGTACAAAATGGTATCTTGCCAGGTTTGTTTTTTTATTCTATCAGTAAGTATTTTGATAGCCTCCTAAGTAAGTAAAAATATTACTGGTACATGTTTTAAAAGAAATAAGGGAAAAGAGAAGTTTACATAGACAAGGAAGTCTTCTGTGTGGCAGTGATATTTGAGCTTGGCACTGTAGACTGGGGAGTCAGGCATAAAGAACTGGGAAAAGAGCATTGCAAAGGAGAGAACATGACTAGAAAGACTGTAAGGAGAGAAAGAATGTGTTGTGTAGTGTTAAAGGAATTGAAAGACATCCATATGACTAGACCATGGTCAGAAAGGGACTTTGGTGTGGGACTAGGGTAAAGACCTACCCTGAAACTGACCCTGTGTGGCTTTGTTGTCATGGCAACAAATTTGGATGTTATTACTGATCATGGAAAGCCAACAACAGCCTTTAAGCAAGAAAATGACACAATCTGATGTATATTTTAACTGGTTCCTGCTAAGAAAATAGATAAAATAAAGGCATTAGTAAGAACTGGGAGACCAAGCTTTCACAGAGAGAATTCTAAACAAATGATGTTGTTTAAAACTGCATGCCATCAGTAGAGTTGGAAGGAGAAAAGAGAATGGCACTCCAGGTATATTTTGGAAATAAGTTTGCTCATGCATTTGGAGAAAAAAGAAATTGAGCGTAACTCCTGAGTTTTTGGTTTGAGTCTCTGAGAGAATGCCCTTCCACTTTATGAGCTAGAGAGTAATATAGGAACAGTAGGTATGGGTTGGAAGTAAATGGGTCCATCTTGGGTATAATCACGTTGCAATTGTCAATTAGATATTCACACAAAGGTGTCGGGCTGACCTTTAGACATGCATCTGGGAGACCAGCAGGGAAGACAGAGCACAAATAGAGAATTGTGAATCAGTATATAAATAGTACTAGAAAACATGAGACTGGAGGCAGAAAGCACTGATAAGAGGATGCAATATTCACCTGAAGTCAGGAGAGACCTACAGAAGGTACTTGTGTTGCATTATATTGAGGCTATACTACCTGGAAGGTAGGGAAAAGCTTATATATCCAAGAAAGAGCATCTGTGAAATAGGGGTAAAAACATAATTACAGGGCGGGGGACTTAGCTCAGTGGTTACACCACCTGCCTCACAAGCGCAAAGACCCGAGTTCGATCCCCAGTACCAAAAAAAACCAACAAAAAACATGATTACGTATGCATTATGTGAACAAAGAGAGGAAATGAAGTGCTTAAAGGAAAGATGTGGTTGATTTGTCAGGTGCTACTTGGCATACAGAAAAGTATCGTATGTACTTTCAATAGATTACTGTGTTGTATGATTAAGGGATGAGATAGAAACCAAGAATGTACATCATTTTCCAGTTTTACTCTGAAGTAGTAACTGAATATCAGTAAGTAGAAGGTTGGTTTGTTTGTTTTAAAGTATGAGCTTTTAGATCATGTTTTAATCTTCTTGGGATTGCTCTAACAGAGAAGATACAGAAACTAGGAGAGATATTGCAAGGTTGAAATCCTCTAGAAGACAAAAGGGTAGGACATTTGGGAGGCTCAGGCTCACAAGTTTGAGCCCAACCTGATCAACTTAGTCCCTGGCTCAAAATAAAAATTTAAAAAGGGTTAGGGTTATAGCTCAATATGGAGGCCCTGGGTTCGATCTCTAGAAAAACAACAAAAAGAAGGTACAACCTAAAGCACAGTTGGAAAGATTTGACTTTGAAAGAGCCAATATGCATCTTTTTCATCAGGAGAGAAGTAAACACTAATACAGTACACACATTTTTTGGTGACAGGAAGATAATTGACTTGTGGATTTATCCTGTTTGTCATTTATTTACAAAAGTACAGATAATCTGAGTGACCAAATAATGTAGAGACCAAGAAGTAGATCTTTCTGGGGAGAGTTACTGCCTGAAGCAGTTAAGTGATTTGTCAAATTTAAAGGGAATCTTCTGGTCAGGATAGCTGAAAATGTAGAAAAAGTGGAGCATTTAAATCTAAAGACCAGGCCAGTGCAAACCATACAATATGTAATCTGGAGCAGAATGTGAATCCTAAAGGAGAAAACCAGTTGAGCTAACAGTCACATTGGTTCACAAAAAAAAATAAAATAAACTACAGTATGTCCCTTTTAAATAGTGCTGGACGTTGCTTTTCGTAGACACAGAACAAGGCTATGGTGCCCTTTTTTATTTATGTATCCATTCAGCAAATATTCATTGTCAGAATTACTCAGTCCTTCCATATTACCTTCAGCATTTGTTAGAAGATATTTACAAAATGTCTTGTTCCATAGTGATGTTTTGGTCCTCAATAAACTACATATACAATGGTAGTCTCCATTGTATACTACCAAGATTATACCACCTAGTTACATAGTACCATCTTGGTTTGTGTAAATACACTATGATTTTCATACAAGGAAAAATCTACTAATGCATTTCTCAGACCATATTCTGTCAGTAACAGCTATATATGAGAATGATGTAGTCATTTCCCATACTTTGTATTTTAATCTGTCTACCAAGGATATAACTGGGCTTTAAATATGTGTTAGATATACATTGTGTATCTGTACAGATAGGTGGATTTAATTAATGAAAATTTTTCTCTCAATTCCAAACTTTTTCTTCCAGAATAAAATAAATTTGTACTTAACAGTACATATACAAAAGATAATAAAGAAGAATGAATGTTGGAGTTAACATTTTGTACTTGTGATCCAGAAGGGCAGTTAGGGGACAGATGGAAGCATGCTTACAGCTCTAGGGAAGTAGATTCCTATGAGGAAGTCAAAAAGAAGTGTTGTGGGTGTGTGTGTATGTGTATGTA